ACATCTACCGTTGGAGGCCAACTATGTCTGCGAACAACTGACTTACTATGTATAATCAATTGAATCCTTCTCATTTTAACCGTGTTTAGTGGGTGTATGATGTTAAAAATATAATCCAGTAACATTGAGTGAGGTACAAATCTTTGGACGTCGCACGGGATTCGAACCCGCATTTCACTCTTTCTGATGGCGCTTGCCAATCACTGCACTACCGGCGCTCGTTCTGCCATCAGACCTTCTGCGACAAATTTGTATCAGTCTGTCAGCAAACAACCAACCGTTAACGGTTTTTTAACCTGGCAAGACGATATCGGCATTGATGCCAGTCAGGTTGACAGATATCGGATATATGTACAATCAATTGAATTCATTTAGTCTAAGCGCTTTTAGCGGTGGTGTTATCTTAAAAATACTAATCTAATAATGTTGAGTGATGTGCAAAACTTTGAACGTCGGATGGGATTCGAATTCGATTTTCATCTTTTCTGAGGGCGCGTTTTAACAATTGCATTACTGGCGGTGGTTTTGCCAACACTCTTTCTGCGACACAATTGTGTCGGAAAGGGTGAAATGCGGGTGCGAGTCCCGCCTGTCGTTCAAAACTTTTGCCTGTTTAAACATTATTGGGTAACTTATTGAGCTTTGAGGTTGCATGGAGGATGTTGGTGGCGATCCTAAACGCTTCTCAATCACTGCATTTGATTGAATGCAGTAGGGAATTAGACTTTGTAAGTGTGGGATCCGCATTAGAGCGAACATTTACACGAACGCTTGTGTGCTTCGCCTGTTTGAATACTAAATTTAGAGTTTGACCTGTTATGGTGAGGTTGATTGCTCGGTTTACTAATCACATGGATTGCTACCAATGCTGAAGTGGCTGCCATAGTTGAGGAGTAGCACTGAAGGCAGCAAACCTTTTAGCATGCGAGGACTGATGGTTGCTTGTAGTGAAAACTAGTAGCATCGTATCGCCCACTTGGAAGCCATAGTCAACTTTCCATATGGTACAACATCGTCGTTATGTTCCAGACAGTCTTTAAGAAAGATCTATACGATATTATGGGTCAACAAAGCAAAATCTTCCAGGAAAACCTACCTATTAACCTGTAGCGCTTACATCAGTGAATCAGTTTGTTGAGTTGACAAGGTAATTCTTTTTTTTTCAAATTTGTGACGCTATGTAGCTGTAGAAAAGTTCGTGCAGTCTTCTCTTCCCATTTTCAAGGAAGATAGTCGTGATGGTTGCATGATTTTGGAACATCGGTGCTAACAATTTCTCCACAAATCGACTTACAAACAACTTCAATTAGAGATCTTTTAGTGCTCCAGAATGCGGTCAAGCCCCCTACTAAAAATCCTAAGGGCAACAGAGAAACTTTATGGCAATTTTCAGCTGGCGTGGCTAGGTAATGGTGCGGTCTTTTGTCATGCCTCGCTCGTATACCTCGTTTAGATGTCTCGGTTTGCCGTTGCGGTTGGTATATTGGTGAGGGCTCTTCTTACATCTTGCTCATATACCTAGTTTTGATGCCTCGTTGTGCCGTTGCGGTTGGTATATTGGTAAGGTCTTTTCTTATGCCTCGCTCGGATGCCTCGTTTGGATGTCTCGTTTTGCCGTGCGTGGTATATTGGTGAGGTCTCTTCTTACTGCTGGCTCATATACCTCGTTTTGATGCCTCGTTGTGCCGTTGCGGTTGGTATATTGGTGAGGTCTTTTCTTATGCCTCGCTCGATGCCTCGTTTGGATGCTCTCGTTTTGCCGTTGCGGTTGGTATATTGGTGAGGGCTTTTCTTATGCCTGCTCATATGCCTCGTTTTGATGCCTCGTTGTGCCGTTGCGGTTGGTATATTGGTGAGGTCTTTCTTATGCTCGCTCGATCCTCGTTAGATGTCTCGGTTTGCCGTTGCGTTTGGTATATGGTGAGGGCTTTTCTACTCGCTCTATCCTAGTTGGATGCCTCGTTTTGCGTTGCGGTTGGTATATTGGTGAGGTCTTTTCTTATGCCTCGCTCGATGCCTCGTTTGGATGCCTCGTTCTGCCGTTGCGGTTGGTATATTGGTGAGGTCTTTTCTTATGCCTCGCTCGATGCCTCGTTTGGATGCCTCGTTTTGCCGTTGCGGTTGGTATATTGGTGAGGTCTTTTCTTATGCCTCGCTCGATGCCTCGTTTGGATGCCTCGTTTTGCCGTTGCGGTTGGGTATATTGGTGAGGTCTTTTCTTATGCCTCGCTCGATGCCTCGTTTGGATGCCTCGTTTTGCCGTTGCGGTTGTATATTGGTGAGGTCTTTCTTATGCCTCGCTCGATGCCTCGTTTGGATGCCTCGTTTTGCCGTTGCGGTGGTATATTGGTGAGGTCTTTTCTTATGCCTCGCTCGATGCCTCGTTTGGATGCCTCGTTTTGCCGTTGCGGTTGGTATATTGGTGAGGTCTTTTTCTATACCTCGTTCAAATGCCTCGTTTGGATGCTGCGATTTGCCGTTGGGGTTGTTATTGCTGGCGTGGGCTTTTCTTATCCTCACTCGGATACCTTGTTTGGATGCCTTGTTTTGCCGTTGCGGTTGGTATACTGGCGAGGTCGTATTCCTCGCTTGGATACTCGTTTGGATGCCTCGTTTTGCCGTTGCGGTTGGTATATTGGTGAGGTCTTTTCTTATGCCTGGCTCGGATACCTCGTTTGGATGCCTCGTTTTGCCGTTGCGGTTGGTATACTGATGAGGTCTTAAGCCTCGCTCGGACACCTTGTTTGGATGCCTCGTTTTGCCGTAGCGGTTGGTGTACTGGCGAAGTCTCGTGCCTCGCTCGGATACCTTGTTTGGATTCCTCGTTTTGCCGTAGCGGTCGGTATACTGGCGAGGTCTTTTCTTATGCCTCGCCTCATGTCGTTTGGATGCCTCGTTTTGACGTAGCGGTTGGTATACTGGCGAGGTCATTTTATGCTCGCTCGGGTGCTCGTTTGCCGTAGTGTGCATATGGCGAAGCTTGTGCCTCGCTCGATACCTTTGGATGCCTCGTTTTGCCGTAGCGGTTGGTGTACTGGCGAAGTCTCGTGCCTCGCTCGGATACCTTGTTTGGATTCCTCGTTTTGCCGTAGCGGTCGGTATACTGGCGAGGTCTTTTCTTATGCCTCGCTCTCATGTTCGTTTGGATGCCTCGTTTTGACGTTAGCGGTTGGTATACTGGCGAGGTCTTTTCTTATGCCTCGCTCGGGTGCCTCGTTTTGCCGTAGTGGTTGGCATACTGGCGAAGTCTTGTGCCTCGCTCGCATACCTTTGGATGCCTCGTTTTTGCCGTTGCGGTTGGTGTACTGGCGAAGTCTTATTTTATACCTCACTAGGATATTTTGGTTGATAGAGTTCAGCCAGTACATCAGGATTATGCTAGTTTTTGACGTAGTTTGGCCAGCGCAGGAGATTATAGCAGCCTTAGTAGCGACACGAGATTGAATATGATTAGATTGATGCAGGCGAATATAGTAGTCTTAGTTTTAAGTAGCTCAAGCAAGAGAGCAGGACGATATGATCGGATGTCGGCGGACCCGACGCGGCATCTGTAAGCGAATGAACTGCTGTTGAAACGACCGGATATCTGTCAGTTATGGCCACCGCCGGTGTATTTAGCACGGTGGTCGTAGCTGCTTCATTAGGCGAATCGAGACGAAGTATGCCTGCACGATGCATATCACCTGGCGCGGGACCCAAATTTGACCTTAAACTTCGGTCTGTTGTGAATCCATTTGTTTTCTGTTAATGACTATATGTATGGTTCCATGAGTTGTTCATTCGGCAAATCGTTTAGATTGAATGTTCCCAACACCACCTCTGTTCTGAGAATGTAGCGTCTTCATGCAGTAGACTTGCTAACGTACGGTCACATTTCGTATCACCAGCATAGAACGATTTGTCGCTCACCTTGGCCATCAGCGCGGGATCTACAGTCTCCAGATGTAAGGAATTAGCTGCTACAGATACTACAGCAGTCTTTACTTCATGTTGAGATTGACGGTTCAGACGTTTAATATACACACCCTAAATGGTATTTCACATCTCCGAAACCTGTTGAGCATTTACGCATTTAAATGTATTGGAACTGTGAATAAGAAATCATGTGTATTTCCGGTACTTGTCTATTATAAGGCGACAAGTGGAAAAGCGATCTTATTTGCTCAACAGGATCTTTTCATGGGAGTGATAATAGACATCCGAAAGCTTAGATCTTTAGCTCCAGCTGCACATGGCCGGTTTTTGAAAAAGGTTTTTTTTCTGAAGAAAATCTGTTTGACGCACGCATTTTTCTCGCAAGACAGAGATCCTTCTTCGGACTTTTAGTAATCTTTCTGTAGCGTAGGACTCAAGGATTCCAACGCGTGCTTGTTTTCTGGAAAGATCGTTTCTCTGCAGTGTAGGAGAGAAAATAAGATTGAGTCACACATTCGGCTTGCTTTTTTACAGGCTAATCCACGGTGAAAGAGGGAACGGGGCACGTCTGGTGGCCGCAGATTCGATGCGGCAGCTGTCCGCGATCAATCGATTGGTGCTTCGGAGGAGTTCGACTTTTGTTATTTAATTACGAATTGCTTCTTCGATTTTAAAGACTCCATATTGAACGTATAACTCTGATATTCGAACAAACTGTCTACGTATGCGGAGATCGAAAAAGGTATATGGTCTATTCGGCAAACAAATATGTGTAGAACAAACGTGCCGCTTACATGTGTGACTGTGTCAGCCGTCCTCCGCTTCCCTCTTCGGTTTCGGATTTCCTGTTTTTCATCCATATCCTGGCGGTTTTTCTATCCATTTGATGGTTTATGCGGGAGCACTTTCTCGAGAAATTGCATTAATTTTCTGTTATCACCTTCATTTCTACCTTTCGAGGGCAGCTTTTCTTTTGCTTATTCCTCAGACTTTCAGCAGCCATTTGAAAGCATAAATCTTAGATTCGAGGATTGTGCTTATTTTTTTTTGAAAAGGCTGTGAGAATGGGAGGTGAGTAAGCTGTGGCCTCTGTGGTATAGTGGTAGCACGCATCCCGGGTATGGATGAAACGTGGTTTCAACTCCTGTCTGAAGTTGAATTATTGCTTGCCACTCATTTCTAATAGGTGTAACTGAAAAGGCTCTTTTGATGCACCGTAGCAGCGACAAATGAAATTGAGTTTCACACCCTGCGCACATCATCACGAAAATTCTTGTTGAATTTTCAAAACATTTTCTTCCGTTTTGCACAAATTTCTACGCTTTGTGCATTAGAATGGTAGAAAGTACCTTGTTCTATCGTTCTATATGCCTAAGATTTTACTTCCACTTATATTGCCAAATGGGGGTGCCGTGGCTGAGTGGTAGTGAAGCTTGTTGTGGCGCTCGTGAGCTAGACTCCGCCCCATAACACTTGCAACTCAACGGACGCCTCATGGAACGTCACTGATAGGCTATCCCCGAAATTTTGAAGAGATGTGCTCAATCGAAATTCTACGATGTTCAAGAACAAAACGAAAAAACCGAATTGAGTGAGGAGTACTTGGATCCGCGCAGTTAAAAAAACACCAATAAGATGGATCAACAAAACAGAAATTTTTTTGCAAAATGAGCTCGATACTAGGCCTAAGCAGCATAGGCCTCAAGACGCGAAACGTGATTTGCTTTTCGCTCGTCAGCGCTCTGTGAAGACCTTCTGAAAAGGTCAACTTAGTTTCAGAATTACCTAAACTCATGCTATCAGATAACCATCAAAATTGTTTTGAGAGACTATTTACGAAGCCTGGCCGCATCGGCACCATACATTACGGTATCCCATCCAGGCAGCCATTCATTCACATACCCTAAGCGAGCAAAGTGTGCCGAGTATGAAACGCAGTTTTATCCTCGCTTCTACAACACACTAAAAAGACCTTTTTAGGAGCCGATTATGATATTAAAATCGCCTAGATTTAAGCTATCGAAAGACCACTAAGTGTTTGGAAAAAGGGAAAAAGGCACATTTCTCAGAGGAATGGAAAAATGTTCAGAGATTATGAAATCGTACCGGATTTTCCTACTGCGAATCGTTTCTTTGACGCTTTGAAAGTTTAATTACTCGGAATGCTTGAAGGTCCCGTCTTCATGTTTTGTGCGGACCTCAACACATCTTCCATGCGTCTCATTCGGTTGTCATCCATATTGGTGATTTAATTCGAGCATGGTGGCTGACACGAGTTTCACATCGTGGTCTGTATAACATCAGCAGCTGCGAGTACAGCTGATTAATTCTTTCTGCAAGCACGTCCGCTCAACACGTGGGTGGTCGTTTTCGGGGTCAGATGTAACCACGTCCTTTCTATAGTTCATTTTGTCCAGCTGTCGTGTGATCTTCTTTCTGCATGATCGGTCAATCCGTGCTTAGCTATCAATCTATATTTTCGTAAATCGATAAGATGAGATAGGTTTTGGAGATATACGATGCGCAAGCCGGCTAATCTTGTGAGTACCGACTGAATCTTCAGAGACATCGTTAAAGCGCTTTGTGAGTTGTTCGCAGTAGTCTTGACGTGATCGAAGTATTAGCCCACGTGTCTACTGCACAGTAGAGCGCTGGGAGGAATGTCGAATCGAAAGTGTTAACGTGTACTTTTGGACCCGTTATTTGCTTGGTGAGAGCCGTATGACGCAGTGGTTAGAGGTGCTCTGCGTTGCACCCAAGATCAGTAGTTAGATCTCATGCTCACGGCTCACCAAACCATTCATTTTTTCGGGGTTGTTAAAATGGTACAAGAGTGGTCCAGACTTGTCTGGGAAGATAACTAGCGGGGATGTGAACAGCGGGACGCCACCTGGAATCATTTATTAAGGTCGGATATGCATTCTGTCATCTTTAATAGACTTAAAAATTAGGGGCGAATGCATGGCGCATCCTCCAGGTGTTGACTAACGCTGAGAGCTTCATCCTTTCTTTGGTCGGTGGCTTCTTGGAGAGGTTCGGATACGGCCTACGCTGCTCTCATTTTCTGTCAAATTTCTACTTGATGTCTAGTTTTGCCAGTACCCTTCTCCTTTTTCGTCATAGTAATGGGTTATGTTTTGAACCATAATCATTTAAGGTATAAAGTGAAATAAAATGCTTTATTTTGATCACTGTATGACGTCGAAAATAATTAAGTTTGATTGCTTTGCTTTTCGGTCTTTTTCTTCCGACTCATGATCCTTCTCAGTGCTGACGGAGTGCCAAAATGTGTATGCTCGATTGGGTTTGAACTGATGTATGACGGTTCGAACGTGCAGAAAACCTTCAGCCCACTTTGTTTTACTCCAAAATGGTGTCGCAGATATCTCGAGAGCTTCCTTGGAGATCGTTGGTTTCATTTTATTTCCTAATCTTCTTCTCATGGTTCTCTTCTGTTATATTTTATAGACCAACGAACTTCGATTCACTGGGTATATTGAATGTAACTGATCCTCCGACTACCGCTGACATTGACCAGGTGAGGGCGAAAACTGAATTATCCACATCATCAGTATTAACTATATTCTTTAGCGCGGTAAATATATACTTTACGGCTATTCATCGTCCTCAATGGGTTATATCAGACGAATTTCGCTTACTGAATCTGTCTCAGAGACTGTTGTTGATGAGCCTAGCCTGATTGGTATGCATTCTCTATCTGTGGATTGGATGTCAAGAAATATCTATTGGTGAGAGGATTACTTTGATCTTTTTGCGACCGAGAACTTTTCTCTGCTCAACTGTAGCTTGAAAGTGCTTCCTTTATGGAGCGCAGGTGACGCAGTGGTTAGAGGCACTCTGTGTCGCACTTAAGGTCGATGACTCGATTTCCCTTGGTAAATTGCTACTAGACTAGTCCCAGATTTGTCTTGGATTACGAGCAGCACTGACGCGATACAGCGGTGGGCCAACGCCGAGTCGTTGTAAAGGCCAAATATGCGTTGAATCATTTCAAATGAAGTTGAAAAGTGGAGACGAATGTATCATGCATCCTTCAAGAATTGAATAGCGCCGAGAGTTTTATCCTGTTTCCTTTATGACTGCCATGAGCTCAGGTTCTTTATTACGTCATCCTTTCCGGTGTGTCTAATTCAGGTCAAATCGTATTCGAGGCCGTATTGAAGTTTGTGATCACAGTGGAAGGTTTCGGCGAACATTAGCATCACGGTCGATTCGTCCGACCTTCCTGGTTGTTCATCCTCTGGTTGGATCTGTTTTCTTTGTTAATGAGCAAAGCAACACTACAATAAAGGTAATTTTTCATAATCTGCTTTTTTGTATTTCCCATTGTATATTTTTGTTTATAGCGTATGCCGCTCATCGGTGATACATTCGGTGGAGTTGACATTGTAGGGGAATTAAGTCGTGTCCGTGCTCTTGCACTTGACTTCAAGAGGGACATGATTTACTGGACAGAAATGGATGGTTTTGTTGCTCGTATTTCAGCTTCAAAACTAAGTGGTCGGTAATATTAAAACTAGTGTGCACTTGTTAATATGACGAAATACAGTGTTGAGTATAGTGAGACCAACAACATCACGTGTGCTTATGTTTAAGGCTCGTATCGAGAGCTGTTATACGTAGGAACGGATGCAACCCCAAACCAGCTTTTCTACTTCAACGATAAACTATACTTTTCTGATGACAAGCATAATTCTATTGGTTACTATAACGGAAGGGAGCTTGTTACTCTGCACAATAATGTGTTCAAATATCTCCGATCTACTTATTTTCCATGGAAATTCTCCAAATTGTGAGTTGGGATGTTTTTTTCTGAATTTTCCAAGCAGAAGGCCCTCTCTAAACTTTAGCATAAGTAATATTTTCTTCAGTGAAACTTGCACGAGGTTGGTACTTCCTCTTTGATTTCAATGGCCAACGTTTTGGCGATTTCACCTTCGTCAGAGGCTGGACGTACTATATCATTACATATCCAATTCGATTTATATGAAAATTGCATGATTTTGGTATGATTTAATTGCGGATTTTCTTGTGAACCTTTTTTTTACACAACCTGCCTATACTAACTAATATGGAGCTATCACCTGTATCACCTGTCGTCCCGTTGATCGTCGAGTGACTCGAGCGGGTACCAGCAACTCTTCCATTTTTCCCTATATATGGAGCTATAGTGGGAACAAATTCGCTTGCTAGTCGTTCACGGCAGCGCGCAGGGAAAAATGCTAGTGAAACGGCGCGTAACAATATCGACCTTGGGGTGATGATACGGTTGCACAAAGAATGACTAAGAAGTGGTTCGCGATATCCAAAACTGGAAAGAACACAATGGAGGACCACTTATGCTCCGGCTGTCCACAGGAAGCTCCATTAATCTTGCGCGCCACTTCACATGCATTTTTCCATACGTGCCGTTCATGCATGATTAACAAGCGAATTTATTCTCAAGGCAGCTCCATCTTAAAGCACGTATGGACAAACTGTATACCAAAATGTTTGTAAGAAAATGCGCAGTTGGACGGTGCCATGATCTTAAAATTTTACTTACCTGTGGTTGATAAATTTATATTTATTGCCCCAGTGCCAAAACTTATGTAACGACCTAATATTAGCGAATAATTAGATGTAGTATGGTATAGTACGTCAAGGCCCTAACGAAGGCGAAATCGTCGAAACGTTGACTATCGAATTTGAAAAAAGGAACTCAATCATCATACAAGTTTTTCTACAGTAAATGTAAAAGGCAGTTCACTTGAAATCTTTTGGCCTGACCATGTTTTCCAGATTCGAGCCCGTGTATGTACGAACAGTCTCATTGCCCGCAGTTATGTCTCGCCACCTCACAAACGGAACGTACATGCCTTTGCTCTGATCACTTTGTGTTCGATCAGTATTCTCTTATTTGCAAGGGTCAGTTCTCAAAGTTGTCTTGTTAGTAGCTGTATACAGTTATCTATACTTTGACTTCTACTTTCCAGCCCCAGAAAATATAATTGTATCAGGCAGTGAAAATGGTTTCGTTGTGATGAATTTACGACGTTTGGCTGATCAAACAGTGTCCTACCAAGAAGTTCGTTGAATAATTCACAATTTTATCGTCCAAATTCCGAATTATTGGAGCAGATTTACAAGGAACTTAGCAACATTATTCGGAGTGCCGCACGCACAGCTCATCACATCACTCAACTCCAAATCATCTTTTCGCTTGTCTTTTGATTATCTTTTCAGTTGAAATCGCGTCTTTACCTAGTGGAGATTTAACCAGAGCGACCTTAAAACATGAAAATTGATCCTTTTACAATTAGGATCCCATCGTGGAATTCAGTCTGTCATCGGTTGGAATTCCTCATTCTATTGCGATGGACACATCAACCCGGCTCATTTTCTGGATTGATGGCAAAGATCCATCTAAGATCAAGTTCTCTCGGCTTGTTTTTTCTTCCAGAGTACGTAGAAAATATTTTGATATCTCTTATTCATTCATGTAGAGATTTTGATAATCACGAAATATGAGGAATGTCACTAAAACATATGGTTGCCTGTTTAGACGTCAACCTTTACTGATCGTCACAATTGTTCTACTTTTTATTCATTAGCAATGGATGAGAACGGTCGAGCTCTTTATGCATCGTGCTATTCGAAGGCCGGTGTAGGCTATATATATGCATACAGAGTGCAGGTATCAGAACTGAGGGGAATCTGTAGTCTGTCTCAAATGATGTTGTATCTAAATTTTCTTAGGATATCCACTCTTCGTCACTGGAGTTGATTGGGCAGATTGTTTCGGGAAGCGAAGTATCCTTAGCTACTGGCTATTCTCCGGTGCCACGTGACCTCACAGTGCTTCCCCAGGCAAAGTACGCCCTGTTGTTTTGGTATCATAGAATCCTTTCGTTTCTTTACATAAAAATCTCATTTTAGCTATCTGTTCTACGTAGATGTTTCACCATTCTTATCATCGCCGGCAATAATTCAGTGTCAACTGGATGGACGAAAGTGTAATGCATGGCTGTCCAAGGTATTCTTGAGAGTAGACAATTTCATGAAAAAATTCTTCTGTTGTTCACTTTTCACATTTCTTTTTGTACTGATCATAGAAATTTTCCAAAGGATCTGTGGCCTGGGACGAGAATTTATGCTGATCCTGTCTACTTGCAACTCTTTTATACGGTATGTCCCATGGCGAACATTTCTAATTTTATTAGGTCTTCTCATAAATTTTGACGCCACAGTAATAAGCACCAAACTCGTCAACCGGACGTTATTAAATTTGCTTAACAACACTATTTATAGTATACGCTATCAGCTTGAGCACATTTCTGCCATCTCTCAGGCAACCAGTCAATACAGCACTCATGGAACTCGTCATCCTTGGATTTAAGGAAAGTTGTGAATTCTGGACGCAAATGATTGATGTCGCGGAATTTCTTCTTACTCAGGACGTTCTCCACCGATCGGAAGAGGCGATAGTCAGATGGCGACAAGTCAGGACTGTGCGGCGGACAATCAAGCATCTCCTAGCCCAGATCGATTAACTTCCTCTTTGTTAATGTGGTGACATATAGCCTTGCGTTGTGTTGAAGCAGTATGAGATTACGGCGGCATCCACGTGACTTCAAGTTGGTGTTACCGACGCGAAACCCAGCAAGGAACCAAAACGTTGTTTGTTTGAACACAAATCCTTGGGCTTTGCACGGTTTATGTTCTCGAAGGCGGTCTATGCACTGAGTTCCAATTCGTACTCGTAAAGCAGCAAACTGCGATAAGAGCTTTGTTTAACAACCATGATGCGGCAAATTTGAACAAATTTGGCACCAGGAGAAGGCTAAGCTCAGAAAATTCTACGCAAAGCGGTATTGATTTGTTGCCTGAGAGGTAGCAGAAATGTGTTCAGGCTGATGTGGCATACTTTGAATAGTGTTGTTAAGCAGTTTTGATTACTTCTAAATAATAAATTTGGTGTTTATTGCTTTGCTGTCAAAATTTATGAGAAGATATCATACTTCAACTTCTGCACCACAGATAGGAAGATGCCTAAGCAGTATTCTTCTTTAGTGTCCTAGTGGAATATGGTCTCGTGACGTCGGTGTGGCTTCGTCTAGCGTCCGGCATCATTATGTCTCCTCGACTGCCAACGATTATTCAGTAGCACCACTAGATGAAAAGAGAATACTCGTCGCTCAAATAACATCCAGGCTAGTTTCGGCTGGAAGTCCATAGTGCTTCGAAATTGTCAGTATTAAGAATGTTTAGCTATTCCAGCAGTTCAACAATAATAGAACTTCCGTATAATAGAACTATCGGCCTTCCCAAAGTCCTCTGTTCTTCAAAGATTTGGTGAGATTCAAATTCTGATGCTGTTACAGTGTTTAGTAGGATTTTGTGGCTTCTAAAATTCCCTATTGTTTGCAGTTGGGATCTCTACACGTGTATGTCGCGAAGCCAGTTGTTCACATCTTTGTCGTTTTCTTCGTGATTCAAAACAGAAGTATGAGTGCATATGCCCTTTAGGATATGCTATCAACAGTGAAAAGTTTGTTTTTCTTCGCTTTCTCAAAAATTATCTCGAATGAATAGCTCAATTTCAACAGACACTAGTGGTGTATCATTGTGCATTGAGTTTCGCGAGTTCTTCTTTTAGTTCAGCTGTAGTTATCTATGTAGTGATGTTTTGCGCACTTCCTTTACACTATTTCGTAAGATATTTGCTATTAGTTCATAGGAAACATAACCCTTTCGCGACGGTGGACCCACGGTCTCCGTATCTCTAACTGATAAATCTGGACGGTTTGCCCCACCTTCTCTACACCTCTGAACCCTAGCGTGCTGCGTCTAGCAATCGCAAACTGTTGGGTTTAACACTGGAGCGCTGGAGGTTAAAGCCGCAGAGGCCGTGGGTCCACGGTCTCGAAATGGTTAATATTGTATTGAGTAGTGGTAGTCGAAGTGTCATCACTTGGCACTTCATACATTATTTTGAATCCGTTTTCCCCCGGATTTTTTCTGTTGTATTTTCTATTTACATGAATTCGTTATTAGAATCCTCTTACAGCTATTACGCTCCAGTGATAGTGTTAGCTAAACGCGAACTGAGAGCAGGAATTATTAAAAAGTTCTAAAAATTTTTCAAATTATGGATGGAAAAGCCAAACCGTTTCCGTGCTTCTACAATATGGTAGTCTAAGATCAGGGTTCACGAAATTTTCGCGGTGATTTTTGATCTTATCAAAGGACTTCCCATATTCACAAGCGGGGTATTTTGGAGAACTACAATTCTACATTTGATTTAGTTGGAGATTTCATCGCAGTTATGGTGAAATTTTTTTTAGTTGTTAACAACTAGGCTTTTCGAAAGTAGTACTCAAGAATTCTAATGTTTTTACTGTTTTTTTCGCAGTATTATTAGGTTTGGGGAAGAAGATCTGAGAAAATGCTCGTAAAACATTCATTTCTGCACCTATTACACCCGAACAAAGACAAAACTAATAGTCAAAGTACACCCCTTCAAGTTCAAGCACCTCCTGCCACTTCTCCGGCAAAAGATGGATTCCGCCAGCATAAAATTCCGATTTCTTGCTGTTGAAGAAATGAATGAGTTGTCCATGAGGGGTTTTCTTCAATCGCTCTAAGCACAGTTTGACGACTAACTTCTCTTGGACAACCTGAACGCGGCTGATCTTCTAAACTTTCTTCACCTTCGTCAAATTTATTGAACCACCTGTGCACCGTACTTTGCCAACTGTGTCTTTGCCAAAGCCAGATTGATGCGTTTCACTTGCCACTGTTGCATTTGAAACCCAACTAACAGCCATTTGCGCATCATCAATGAAACAATTTGCTCACTTCTTAATTCCATCATGAAATAAGTAGATAAATTATATACCAATCAACGCGCGAAAAGACGGGCTTACAAATGAGCACAGAAGCACAAATTGGCCGACACCCATAAAAGTTACAGGCATCTTCGCGAAACTTTTTCCACAACCTAATATAATGCTCCAACACACCTAGGAGAAATGAGTGGTGAGCAAAAGTCCGGGCTGAGACGGGAGTTGAACCCGCTTTTCACCCATGCCAATGGCGCGTGCTACCACTGCACCACCGAGGCCACCGCTTGTCCACCAGTCATTCTTCAAAATCTCTCCGTAATAACTATCAGCTACCTACCTTTGACAGGTTTGGTCAGATAAGCAATATCACTTCATAAACTCAGTTAAGCTGACAGCTATTGTGATATGTAATACTTAAGAATTCAAATGTTTTTATTGCTTTTTGTGCAGCGTTATGATGCTTAAGGTTGGTGGCTGATAGCTACGATAGAGAGATATTGAGGAATGAGTTGTGGATAAGCGTGACCTTGGTGGTGTAGTGGTAGAGCGCTCCGCCGGGTATGGATGGAACGCGGGTTCAATTCCCGTCTGTGGTCGGATTTTTGCTTACCATTCAGTTTTTTCAAATGTGCTTGTCGAAGGTGTTTGCCTTAATGGTGAAGTATTTTGAATGAAATGTTTTTTATTTCCACTTGTTCTTTACAGTCCATCGACATGTCTTCCGAATGTTCCGTGTGCTCGATGGCAGTTTGCATGTGATGACCGACAATCGTGTGTTCATTTCGCGAAAAAATGTGATCGTGTGCCGGATTGCGCGTCAGTTTCTCCTAAATTTTACTAGATTCTTGAAGAGTCAACCACGATTTTATTTTTTCCATCAAAGCTATAGATTCATTGAAGAGACTCCGCCATATAGCAGTCATAGCATAATGCATTCGAATCTAATATGAATATGTTCGAAATTCGAACTTCAGGAATTTGCTGAGAAGTCTAAGTTAACAAAATTCTCAATGGAAGACTGCCAACTGCAAACGTTGACGGTACACTAGGCTACACCATAGTAGCACACTGGATCGCATCCAGCTTGTTCATTGGTTTTCGAGTTCAAAATACGAGCCTTGAAGCAATAAGTAGCGGGAATGTCTTATAGGTATTCGAAGGCGACTTGCTGCGCCAAGCTAGAGTATCCAGGATCTTTTTCTTCAAAAGCTCCGATGAGGTCAGACTGCAGAATATCAAAATTTCACCATGGTCGAATAGGAGAACCTCCATTTAATGACCATGGATTCAGAAATTCCATCATTACCTTGGTTCGACTAGTATTAATAGAATACACAGCGAGCTATTTTGAGTTCATGTTGAGTGTGACATTATCTTCGCATCGTAGTATTTGTATAAAATTCGCGTAAGCGTTGAAGTATGTGGTTGGTTTATTGGTACAGTAGAGGTAGTTGTTAGGTCGTTCCATAAGTTTTGGCGCTACAGCAAGAGGGATTTGAATTTATTGAACAGAAGTAGTTAAAATTACATGATTTTGATATAATGCAAGTACACTTTTTCTTGCGAACATTCTGGTTTACATTGCTTATAATTGCTTTGAAATGGAGCTGTCTTGAGAAGAAGTTTGCTTGCTACTCATGAATGAGTGGTGAGTTGGAGGAAATGCTAATAAAGCAACGTGCAAGATTAATGAAGCTCGGGGCGATGATGCGGTTGCAGAAAGGATGGCTAAGAAGTGGTTCGCGAAGTTCAAAGCTGCAGAAATAGTCTGGAGGACCAGTCGCTCTTAGGCCGTCTACAGGAAGCTCCATTAATCTTGCGTGCCACTTCACTGACATTATCCCCTAAGCGCCATTTGTGTCTGACTAGCAAGCGAAATTGTTCCAGGGCAGCTCCATCTTGAAGCATGTATAGGCACATTGTATACAAAAATGTTCGCATGAGAATACGGAATTGAACGATATCGAAATTATACAGTCTTTTGTACTTCTGGTTAATAAATTTGGTGTTTATTGCTCTAGTGCCAAGGCTTATGGATTGACTTCTTTAGTAGTTTGATTAGGTCAGAAATATGAAAGTTCATTAGACGCATTGATCTTAGAAATGGTCATTATTTGGAATCTCAGAATTCCTGGCGTTTTAGCTGCTCTTTTCGTAGTGTTATGATTTCAAATTACTTAAGAGAATTGAGTGGGGAGCAAAAATTAACTAAAGGCACAGGAGTAGAACCCACGTTTCACTCATACCTGGGGCACATGCTACCACTACACCACCGAGGCCAGCCCTACTTACCACTCGTTTTTCAACATTTCACTATCATAGTAATCAGCCTATGATTGTGAAGTAGTATATATAGTACAGTGGGTAAGTGATGGTCTCAGGTTGTACAGTGCTAGTACGCGACCCCAGCGTGGGTGAAACGCCGGTTCAACTCCCGTCTGACGAGTCGAATTTTTGCGCACCACTCCTTCTCTTAGGTAGACTTAAAACATCATAACACTTCGAAAAGAGCAGTAAAAACATGAGTCTTGATTATTATGTATGCGCAGTAGCTGTCGGCTTAACTAGGTTTAGAAAGCGATATTGCTTACACGATCAAGCGTGTTAATGTTGCTAGCTGATAGCCATTGTTAGAAAGATAATGGAGAATCAATGGTGGGTAAGTGATGGCCTTCGGTGGTGTAATGGTAGCACGCACCACCGGTATATGTGAAACGCGGGTTTGACTCCAGCCTAAGGCAGCATTTTTCTACACCACTCAAATCTCTTAGGTGTATTTAGAATTTATGGTAGTCAATGTCAAGTATAGCTGCACTGATTTGATTTTGCGAAATCATTGTAGTTCCATATCCATTGATTTAGCGAAGAAAAACTCCAAAGTTTCAGTGATGGAAGTGATGAGTCGCATTCTTTGTGCCGAAATGTGAAACCTGACCACTGGCCATGTGATGACGGAGCGAGTACAATCCAGCGATCATTTGTATATTTTACTCTTCTGTGTACCGCTATTATCTGTCTATATGGTGTTTGCTAACCTATTGTTCAATAACTGCAAAAGTTGCTATGCATTTGAAGTGATTTTCTTAGTCAACGCCGCTTTTTTTTCTTAGTCACTTCAGTCTTAGTGTTAGTGATTACCGGTATTGTATCGAGCGTCATCTTTCCTCTTTTCAACCAGTGTCATAGTCAGTCATCACGGTTTAGTTCAGGACAACGGGTGATAATATTCAATATTAAATCCAGCAGTACGCACCGCTAAACTTCTCTTATACAATTAAATCTCTTCAGAACATGCGGTATTCTTCTAGGCGGATCATCGCACACAGTTGAAGCACTCAATCGAAATTGACTATGACATCCACAGACCCAAATCATGCGGCGAACCGACATTACAGCGTCTAGAATCTAAGTGCTCTGGACTGTTCTTAGTAACGTATTCAAGGCTTTTACACAGCGAGCAGTTCGCATTGATGAGTGCCTCATGCTAGCGCTTATCGAGAAGATTGTCTCTGGTTCGATTCCCTACCACAACGCTTCACTGTAACTTTTTTTGTGTTATCTTCTTGTTCTCACTAAAGTATGCTCAAGTTCAAGTCAGTGACAGACCGTATCTCATACTACACCATTGAAAGAAATGCGAAAAAAGTTGGATATACGTTATCGCCATGGATCTACGTTTTGTATCGGAAAGTGCTAAAATGTTAGACAACAGCGTTTTTGCTGTGATAGTTACGCCATAGGAGAACCTTCTGTACTAGTCGACATCAGAAAGATAACACGAATAGAAGCTAAAGTGAAGCGTCGTGGTAAGGAATCGAATCCGCAACTTTCTTCCTGATGAATGGCAGCATGAGCCACTCACCACTGCGAACTGGTGGGCTCTGAGCCGCCGCGTGCTTGACAATGTAAGAGCTCAGACTACCCTACTAGAGTCTGAAGCTTAGATTCTAGACGGTGTAATGTTGTGTCGCAGCATTAATTGGATCTATGGAAGTCAAAGTGTTGAGTAGTTTTGTGGGAAGATAAACTTTTTCGTTTGTTTTCTTCAGACGAGGACATACGAAGTACTGATCATCTTCGCTGCTTAAGAATTTTTCATAAGAATGTTAGTGACCATTCAAAAGCTTAAATCTCTGGTTACTGCGCTACCTAACCGTTTTCTAAAAAGATCGATCATAACCCTTCAGTGAAAGGAAAACAATTGTGTTCCAAGCGCGCATATTTCTTGCCGGACAGAGATCTTTTTTTCTAGGCAACTAGTGGTCATCCGATAGCATAAGTTTCCACGGTTCCAATGCTATGCTTGTTTTCTGCTAAGACCTATTCAGTGCCGTGTATGAGGGGAAGTAAGATCGAGTTCCACATACGCGGCGCATTTGTTTGTCGCTAGTGTGTGTGGGGGAAAGAAGGCTAGCCCTGCTTGGATTCTTTCGACAATCGATTGGCCGCGCTGGCGCGATTCGCATGTGGAGTGCGGTTTCTGTTTTCATTTTGGGTTCTCTCACCGCCTTGAAAGAAACCGAATAATAAAATGTATGGCGTTTATACTACAAGATTACCCTAACCAGATCTACGTGTTTCGACCTAGGCACCCCACAGCGAGCAGTTCGCATTGATGAGTGCCTCATGCTAGCGCTTATCGAGAAGATTGTCTCTGGTTCGATTCCCTACCACAACACTTCACTGTAACTTATTTCTGTTATCTTTTTGTTCTCATCAAAATATGCTCACTGAGTCACTGACACTCCGTATCTCGTACTACAACATTGAAAGAAATGCGAAAAAACTGGATGTACATTATCACCATGGATCTACGTTTTGAATGAGAAAGTGCTGAAATGTTAGACAACTGAGCGTTTTTGCTGTGATAATTACGTCATAGGAGAACTTTCTGTACTAGTCGACATATAAAGACAACACCAGTAAAAACTAAAGTGAAGCGTCGTGGTAGGGAACCGAATCAGCAACTTTCTTCCTGATGGATGGCAGCATGAGCCACTCACCACTGGGTACTGGTGAGCTCCGAGCCGCCGCGTGCTTGACGATGTAAGAGCTCACACTACCCCACTGAAGTCTGGAGCTTAGATTCTAGACGGTGTAATGTTGTGTCGCAGCATTAGTTGGTCTATGGAAGTCAAAGTGTTGAGTAGTTTTGTGAAAAGATAAACTTTTTTCGTTTCTTTTCTTTTAGACGAGGACACATGAAGTACTGACCTTTCTCGCTGGACAAGAATTTTCTATCATAACACTTCAGTGGAAGGAAAACAAATGTGTTTCACGCGTGCATATTTCTTGCCGGACAGATTTTTTCTCTAGGCAACTAGCGATCATTCGATAGCATAAGTTTCCACAAATCCCAATGCTGTGCTTGTTTTTTGGGAAGACCTCTTCACTGCAATGTAGTAGGGGAAGTGAGATCGAGTTCCACATACGCGGCGCATGTGTTTGTCGCTAGCGTGTGCTGGGGAAGAGGAGGCTAGCCCTGCTTGGATTTTTTCGACGATCGATTGGTCCCGCTGGCGCGATTCGCATGTGGAGTGCAATTTTTGTTTTCAATTTGGTTTTCTCACCGCTTTGAAAGAAATCCCATAATAAAATGTATGGCGTTCATACTACAAGATTACCTCTGAACGTTCATATCCTTTTCGTGCTTTTAGGGACAAAAGTAAGAGCGCAGCTGATGTGAAATGTAATTTCTTTGAGTGCTAGAATTATAAAAGGGTTCTTTCAAAAAACTTCTACCTAGCGCATAACCAGAAGTTCAAGCTTCCAGATGATCTCTAAAAGTGCAATAAAAAGTCTTTGTCCAGCGAAAGGAATTGTCTCCTCATTTGCCCCGTATAACAGAAAAGAACCTTTCCTTCGAAGCCTAGTAAAAGGCAAATGGAATGATGACCTTTGATGCTTCATAATTATATATTGCACGAGTCAAATCGCATTGATTTCTTGCTTTAGCTGTGCAATGGAGAAGTGGATTGTGAAGATGGCTCTGATGAAAGGCATTGTAGGTATGCACATTTTTCTTTTCAATAGAAAGACAAGGCTAGCTAATATATGAGAAAAAAATATTAGAACGGTGAGAAAAGCTTGAACATCTTTGAGACGAGCTGGGTTGTTCACTCGTCCAACTCTTCAAACTGGACTTTGAAGCCACTTGTCCAGAACTTCCTGAGCGGTTTTTAGACACTTTTCAAAATTTATTAGCCTGGTGTTTAGGAGATCCTATATTCAGTCTGTGAGGATGTTTCATGCATTCTCTATCTTTACGAGATTATCTGAAAAGTAGGGGCGCATGCGGCGCCGTAGTGGGAGTTGCCTTAGCTTCGCACATGAGGACAATAGTTCGACCTTGCGCTCATGGCTCACCAAAGCATCCATTCCTCAGGGGCTGGTAAATTTGTGGCAGACTTGTCTGGGAAGATAGTATCACAGACTCGATACAGTGGGAGGTGACCGCGAGTCATTGTAAGGCCAGATGCGCATTCAATCACCTCAAACGAAGTTCGGATTTCAAGACTGATGCGTAGCGCATTCCTCAGGCATTGATCAACATCGAGAGGTTTTTTTTATCCCAAAAGGATGAGTTTCACCCAACATTTTAATTTTTCCTTCACTTTTTTTGCTGATGTTTTCTGTATTGTTTGTTTCGGGTGTTTTATTAAAACCATGCTCAGATTCCAAATTCTCATAATTATTATTCGAACAAACATGCCATGTGGTCTGCTAATGGGCTCTTGAACAACCAGATCTACATGTTTAGGCCTCGGCATCCTCGTCAGTCGAGCAGGCCCTTCGTCTTTAGCCAATCCTTGCGAGGGTAAATCGTACGTCGTTGCCTGCTTTCTATAGAAGAATCTATGGGCCCTCGAGAGCATTGGCTAAAGACGAAGAGCCTACCCGACTGAACAGGCGGCCAAGGCCGAAACACGTGAATCCGGTTGTACAAAAACCCATTAATGGACCATATGACATGTTGGTTCAAAGAATGATTATCAAATATTTTTTGTTTCGCTGGTGGGAAAACCTTCCTTTGAATGTGGCACAGGAATGCAATTGTCCTAACTGCTTGTACGGTTTTGCGCCCTAAATGTTGGTGTCAGTCGGTTTGTGTTTGGCTAACTAAGTAGATAGTACATATGGTCCGATCCTGAGATTTTTTTTTTCTTCTTGTTATTTGATTTTCTAAACAATAGTTTTTAAAGCAAGGGTTTATATTGAGTTTCTGGCTGTAAAAGTAACGTGAACTATCCGATTTCAATTATGCTATCCCCCTTTTCTCTTTGTAGCTTGGCTAGCAATAAAATTGCCGATCTTTTATTCATAGGGTGGCCTAATTTCTTGAAAAATTCGTCATGCTCACTTTCGACGTTGTTTTCGACGTTTTTTCCAAAATATTTTTCCGTTTGATTCGTCCTTTCACCATTCACTGTTTTGTAGCGTTTTTGTGATGCAGCCTCTTTATCCGGACTGATCCGTCATCGTGCTAGCCAGCTGGTGCTCCTTTGAAAGGTTATGAAAAGCTTCGATTGTAAAAGAAAATCCCTTTTTTGTCAACAATTTCCCGGACAGCGTGAATTTTGCATGTGACTGGTTTTGATGGTTTTAGTGAATTATTATTTATTCAGTCGGTTCACTTTACCGCACCGGTCAACTGTTCTCCCTTGTGTAAACAATACTTATAGACTCCATGCCCCTACCTACTGATCCATATAAGACATGTGTACGAGTTATTCCCATATCT